TGATTGTTATATTGATAAGGTAAGTCATGTATTAAGATTTGACCTGATCTGCAGAGGGTCCAGGTGATTAGAAACCATAAGCTGAGCTGTGGTACAAAATTCCGTGCTATGCTACTTATAAAATTGTACTACACTGATTCTGCTTATTAAAACACCTGTGCTACCCTGATCATAACATTCTATGCTGGTCATAAAAGTCTGGTAAAAAAACCCCAACTTTAAATGTAACTACAACTTAGTTTCGTCATCATTTTGCCAAGGATTTCCAAAAGAACTTGTCTATCCCTATAAAACCAGGTGACAACCTCTCCTCATAGGAGAGATGCTCCAGTTTTTTAATCATCTTTGTGGCTCTTTGCTGTCCAAGACTCTCTTGTGCTGAGGGGCCCAGAACTGGACATGGCACTTTAGATGCAGCCTCACCAGTGTTGAATAAAGGGGAAGGATCACCTCCCTTGACTTTCTGGCAACAATATTCCAATGCAGCCCAGGATACTGTTAGCCTTCTTTACCACAAGGACACATTGCTGGCTCAAGTTTAGCTTGCTTTCCACCAGGACACTACACACATACAGTCCTTTCCTGCAAAGCTGCTTTCCAGTTGGTGAACCCTCATCATGTCCTGGTGCATGGGGTTGTTCCTCTCCAGGTGTGAGACTTGGTACTTCCCCTTGTTGAAATTCATGAGGTTCCTGTTAGTCCATTTCTCCAGCCTGTCAAGGTACCTCTAGATGGCAACACAACCCTCTGGTGTATCAGCCACTTCTCCCAGTTTTGCATCATCTGTGAATTTGCTGAGAGTACGCTTCTTCCCACTGTCCAGGGGTGTTGGCAACTTGGTGCCAAAAATATATTTTGGGGTATTCATATAAGATTTTCCCCCCATAATCAGAGAAGAGGGAGGAATAAGGAAAGTCTCATGATTTCAGTATTCAAAGTCAGGCTTGGTAATTTACCTTTAATGACATAAAATAATTAAATGCTCATATATTAGTATGAAAAATTTAATGTCTCAAGGAAATTCACAGCACTGTGGTATTATTCTCTTCACTGCTCATCACACCTAGCTTTGGATAAGTTCTTTTTTTTTTTTTTTAATTCAGTGAGTAAAATAAAATTCCAATTTTAGTTAAGCACATTAGTTCAAAGCAGCCACATCCATCAGCTAAACACTGACAAACACTTCTACTGTTCCCTGCTGTTGAACTACTGCTAACAGTGTGAGCTATAGTGTGTTCTGGAAATAAGAGGCTTCCTCACAGACTTGCATAAACCCCTGAGGAGGAATTTTTCTGCTTTCCATGAAATACAGTTTAAGCATTATGCTTTACCTCAGTTAAATTCCATCTTGTTGACATTCATACTTACATGGGGAAAAAAAAATATCTGACTTAGCAAGCAAACTTACTTCATAGGGGAAAGTATTATACCAGCACACATGGACCAACTTTAAAATCCTAAGTCCTTTTAAATTAAAATACTGAAGAAACTGCTTATTCACAATCTGAGAATAAAATTTACAGTCATGAGTTGCACATAAAGAATTTATTTTAAATGTTTTAAGGATAGAGTTACATCATAATTATAAAAATTACTTACAGAATTAAGTAACAGATTTAAAGTGTTCATACTTCTAAAAGAAAATAAAAATAATGAAACCAAGTTCTAAACATGAAGTCACTACCTAATTTTAAAATGTGAACACGAAGACCTTTGAACTATACACATACCAAGAACCATCCAAATTGCACTAATGATGTAAAATACAAAATGCACAACATTTTCAAGGAACCAGAAGCTGTTTTTTACCATAATTATTTTTCCCTGAAGTAACTTTAATCTATTTGAAGATAAAGCCTCCATTTTAATTAATTAAAGAAGTTGTATACCTATTGTAATAAATAGGATTTCCCCCAAAGTATTTAAGTCTTTATGTAGTCCAACTTAGTTTAGGCTTTGGTATTCAAAAGAAAAAAAAAATCAGTGTTTTACTTATCAATTGTGATTTTATTTAGCCTTGAACAGAATACATGGTCCCTTCAAATGCTGTATGACACATACAACTGGAAAATTACCTTCTCTTGGCACTATGTTTGCCTCACCAGTGCATTTAATCCTACTAACAACCATTCAAACAGCACAATAAGTAAATTCACAAAAAACTGAACACAAAATAAAAACAGAACAAACTTCAAACCTAAACATTATAACATGCAACTTCAGTTTGTTACATAGAATGTTCTAACCTTCTAAGCATGCAAAAAAGGATGGTCTGCATTTAAGGTGGGTTTTTTTTTCCTTTTTAAAAGTTTTACATGACAGATTGACATCATGCACACACAATATACAACAATACTACAGCAGGTAAATGAGAGGCCAATAACTTTTATATATAGATCCATGGCTTGTGTCATCACAAGACCTATGATAAATTTGGAAAGTAATGTTGAACCCCTAGAACAAGGGACCAACATGTAGTTACTAGGGTAATGCAAGCACTGCATGCAGATCTGAAACATGAGCCTAAAATAAAGCCCAAAGCAGATGGCAGGGAGTGGAATTAGTGTCAATTCTCAAAAAGGTGGTTTAAGCTATTAAAAAAAAACAACCACAAAATCAAAAACACTCCCCCCACAAACCTTAAGAAAAAAAAATGAAAAGAAAGAGCTCATGCAACAGACAATGTGGACATCTAAAAACAATCATAAAATTTGACAGTATATACTGTATAGATTATATTCTAATTAGCAAAATATGGTGTATTAGAGTGGCTTACATAAAAACTCACAAATGCAAGCCTAATGCTAAAAATGTTCCAATAGACCTAAACCTCAAATATTTCAAAACAAACCTTGTTGTTACATCCTTAAATGTAAAGCCCAAAATTCATTGTACTAAGTTATTCATGTATTTTGTGTGTAATCAATACACTTGTTGTGCCACAAATATCAGCTTGGGCTCATGGAGCCAGGCTCAGCTTTGAGATTTACATGCAGGACTCTTAAGAGTCAATAGAAAGCACATAACAGATCTGCAGGATGAAAGCACTGTGTTGCAAATCTGCTCATTCTGTTCAAAAAACAATGAAAATTTATGGACTCAGTGCTTAAAGACTGGATTGAGAAGTTGTGAAATGAAAGACAATAGCCTGCCTTTGGTTGCCCATGATGAAATACAGGATAGAATGCAATATAGTAGCAAGGGACAAAGAATTAAGATACCATATTTATACAGTATTACCATTTAACAGCATAATGAGGCACAAGCCTTAAGGCTAAAATATGAAATCAGGCAAAAAAATGGACAGAAAAGGACTTAAACCACTGAGTCTTTGATATCAAGAATACCCACAATAGAAGTCAGACCTCTGATCTCTGATTAACAGTACCTCTCCTGCATCCTTCCACTGACATCATAAGGTTGTATACCTATTTATTTCTTCTTTCCATCAATAGTGTTGACTGTATTCAGATTCTTCACATACTGTATTTCTGTGAAGCAGTGCTTTGAAGCTTGTAGAGCTCTGCTTTAACGACAATTTTGTTGCTGTGCTGATCCTTGTTACAGTTACGATGCTTTTAAAAGTTGCTATTCTTAAAAAACAACAAATACCCTACCCTTGATTTACAACTATCTTGCAAGATTAAAACTGTGAAAGGATTCTGCTGTTGTGGGTTGCTATTTACATCCACAATCTAATGCAGATGACTGAACCACTGAGACTGTCTATAGCTCTCATTAGATAGTACACCACTGGCATGCAAAACTCTAGTGTTCATAGAATGAAATTCATGTTAACGGCATACCTCAAAGCAAGTACACCACAAAAGGCAACAATAGGTTTAAACTGTAGATTTGTCTGGACAGTCCTTACATGGAAAAGCCAGAAAAAGAATACATTGAAAAGATGCCTTCTTAAACCAAAATGGTTAAAAACAATAGCAAAGTCCAACACAAAACAAAGCAAAGGAATACAGCAGACTGAGCAGAAGGCATTAAATGCTTCTCCTTCTCTAAAGGAGGTCCTCAGTGTAAAAGGACCCCCCTCCCAATAAACTTGTATTTACTGTGGGAAAGATTAGCTAATGCTAGGTTTCTAAGTCCACACACAAACATCCAGTTTGCTAGGTTCTGATATTAAACGAGAGACTACTGATTGCCAATGTGTAGTCTAAAGTCTGCTTAAGTAGCATTATATACTGTTAAACTTGTGGCACCAAGCACTTGTATTCTGCTATGAAATGTGTGTAACAAATCAGAGTACAACATTTAGGATTAAAGGCAGCTTTGTTGTGTGTATTTTACTGGTTCCTACAACTTGTAAACACAGGCGCTTAACCTGCATTTTCTAATTAACTGGATATGCAGATTAAATATATTTTTATAGTTTAAAGCCTTTTCACTGAAAGGTGCATAAGTCAAACACCTGATACCCTACTGTCCTGTGACTAGTAAAAATGCACAAGTATTTCCATGTACTGCAAGTTCTTAAAAAAATTAATTTGAAATGAAGTGTAGAAACACAGTAAATTGATGTTACTTGGGTTAGATACTCCTTACTGCTGCACAAGCTGTTTAAATCTTTCAGAAAAGTCACCTCTGTCCCAAGCCAGAAAACAAGGACTGCCAGTAGCCAAGAAATTAAATTTAATGTTGCAAAAGAAGGCATATGGAAAATAGCAAACTACACTTGCATGTGGCAGTTGAACAGGTGATGCAAGGTTGAAAAAAAAGTTAATCTATGAAAAAATCTAGATTGCAATACTAGATTGACTTCACACAGCTTGAATTTGCAACTGTTCTTTGCTTTTGACTCCCTACCACCCAAATATATTGACTTCCTTCAAGAAAAAGAGTTCTCTTAACAAAAGATGTGTCATGTTCACATAAATTTGTATTATTCAGAACAAAACAGAGTTGCTAGCAGAGATTGTGGGTTCGCAGGGACATTTAAGCTTTCATTTAACTGAAAATCAGTCAAGTCTGTGTCTACAAATTTTACAATTAATAGTTCCACAAATTTGGCAGAAGTTCATGATGATGCCTAGGATGTCTTCACCAAATCATAGACATAAATATGGAAATCATCATCAAACTTGATGAAATAGACAGATGGTTTGGCTTCAACTTGATGAATGACCATGCCAGTCCGTTTTGAGCCATCTTCTTTGGCATATTCCACTTGTTTGCCTACCAGGCTGTCCACAACTTCACCTGGTTCTCGTTCTGCAGGAGGTGAATCATCTGTAATATGAAAATACAATGTACTTTGGTAGAAACTTATGGATTTTTTCCAATATACAAAACTGCAGAGACTTCTTTAAAAGTTAAGAAACAATCATGAGTTTAAAATGCAGAGTATGTCTAAAACAAGTTGAGTTGTTTAGACAAACACCTAACTATTGCCATGCTTCTAGAGAGTAGTCACAGATTTTACTTTTTAGGTAATACCATCCTCACTTTTATGAAGAAAAAAATAGCACTTCAATTGGTTAGAAAAGTAAATCGTTGACATGAAGGTTTACACACCAATTGCAAAATGTTTGTAGATAATTGAATTTAAGCCCCTAGCAGAACAAGCCACTTAGTGACTTTAACAGAAAGGCAGGTGTGCTAGAACCCAAACACTATCCAAAATGTCAATGCAAACGTGCCATTGCAACAAACCCACATCTTCCAAGCTAAGTGCAACCTCCTTAATCAGTAATGCTGTTGAAAGGAGCTTTTGATTTCACACTAGAATGGATACTGTAACTATATAATTTGCTTTTCTAGCAAAATCTACCCAGAAGTATCCCTAAAGACACAATTCTGTAAAAGATCCAAATTCAGGGAAGGTAGCTTCCCTGTTCATAGTGTCTTAGAAACAGAGGTAAGTAATCATGAAAATTATAGAATCATAGAATATCCTGAGTTGGAAAGGACCCACAATAGATAGTCTCAGGAAAAAAACCACACATTAAAAACTTAATTCTTAAATATGAAAAGCATAAGTCTTTTTAAACTTATTTTTCAATAAAGAAGAAAGCAAAGCAGAATTTAAAAAGTAATTGCAAGGTATGTCAGGGTGGCAACTCTGAAAGAGCTTGCTTTATTCATTTTTTTTTTTTTTACAAATAGGAAGATCAATTTTTCCATTAATTTTTGTGTCTCCTTCTGAAGCCACAAATATGTTGATTTTTGTTAGACTGGAAAAAAAGTCTAAACTCATAGGATTAGTACAGAAGTTATGCAAGTAAGTGCCAGTTGTTTACTCAGCCACTGCTAGATCTGAAGGAAGACAGTCTCAAAAACTCAATGAATTAATTCTAAATAATATTTATGTAGTGCATTGCAATTGTTTGGCTATGTAATTAATGATTTACTTTAAAGCCAAAATTGCCTCTCTGTCAGAGAAGTGCTTTTGAGGTGCAGGACAATGAGAGTACAATATTCTTGACAAAGTTTTTTCTTCTTTTTTTTTGGTATTAGCTATAATCCCTTGAACAACACTGTGTGAAAATATTTATAGGAAAAAAGCAATAACTTTCACTTCAAAAAAGGAAGAAAAAATATTCCTCCTAGCCTATTGAATTTTTTTCCTGTTTACGTGTTTAAACATGTGAGAGAAAATGAGTTTTCAAAAATTAGTGCTTCTTTCCTCCAAGAAACTATTCAAAAACTTTCAAACTGAAGATGCCTACCCAAACTAAATTAACCAGACTATTTTAGTTATCCCCAAAACATTATTCTTATAAGAACTGCTTAAAAAATACAACTCCTTGAGATGGTTCTTAATTTGTGACACTTCTATAAGAAAATAACAACAGAAAGCATCTAGTTTGTCAGTGTAAAAAAAATCTAAGAGTAATCTCTTCCACAACAGTATGTATATATTTATCAGAATTAGGAATTATAATGGAAAAGGATTTTCCAGTATTTACTGCATATTTCACCACTGATTCAAGTAAAATATTTCAGAAATTGCTTAATACAGGTGTTTTTTCAGTTGTGCTGTAAACCTTTCTAGTCTTGATACTTAAAAAGTTCCTTGTTTGTCAATTCTCTTTTCCATAAGCTATACAATAATACAGAGAGATGCCACTTTCCAGAAGAAAAAAGTAGCTGTTCTACTTACTGGAATCAGGCATAATGCGAAGGTCACCTTCTTTATAGTCATCTAGGAGTTGGTACATGTACAAGACAGGATCTTTCTCATAGGTAATATAAAACCATGTGTTCATAATAGGAGCTCGAGCCAATATCATCCCCCTCCATTCATCTTTTGAGCCATCCTCTGTCTCAAACATATGTTCCACAGCTTTGCCAATCATTGTGTCTGCCAGGTGGGCATCGCTAATTCGAGATGAAGCTGAAATGGTAGCAGTTCATAAGTATGTCCATTCAAAAAGTACAGAAATAAGTCTTTGCAAAAATTAATCTTTATCCAGATTCATGAATAAATTTGTTTCAAAGTTGGTCAATTCACATACAAAACAAATAATGTCCATTTCAGAGCGTTAAAGAAAAAAGAACAGAAGAACTTGAAGAATTATTTTAACGTTAACTCTTTATTGACATTTTCCATTATTGCACCTCCCTTCCAATCCAACTATCATAATGGAAGATAAAGGAGACCAATATAGGCCACAGCAAGGAATAGCATCTGTATTTTAAATATATTTGTATTGTGGGTGGAGGGGAGAGAGGCTAAATCACAGAGCAGCTGTATGAAGTTATTAATGAAGGCGTTCAGTTTGGTTCCCCCTAACTCCATTCTAGAGACTGATACTGATTTCTTTGCAGACAGGAAAAACAACAATTTATTCCATTCAGAAATAAGTAATTACTAGGGTAAACTTTGAACTTTACAGTTTGGAAGAACCTGCAGTTTAACAATTCAGTGCTAATTATAACAATAAAGTCTTGTTACTAGTCAATTAACTTAGAAAATGCTTTTTTCCCTCCGCTTGTATTAAAACCTAGGGAAAGCACATGAAAAAAAACCCAACCAAACGCATAATTACTGTCAAACACACACAAGAAAACATAGTCAGGACATTTCTCAGCTGGCTCAGTTTAAATTTTAATGGAAATTTCACTGTTACATGTACATAAGCTTGTTAGGGATAAGACTCAAAAAGAAAAAACACAGAATTGTCTGCATACCATTTAAAGACAAAAGACAGCACTATTCTCTCTGCTATCATCAAAAATTTGTGAAATAAAAAAAAATTAGAGCATTTAGATTATCTGCCATGTAATGAAAAGTAATTTAATAAAATTTAAATGTTCTGACAACATATGCACATATAGGAAAAAACTGCTTACCAACTCTGTCTGGAAGGACTTCAAGTGCTGAAACTCTTTCATCTTTGTGCAGTTCTAGTCCATACACACAATCAAATCCATCATACTTTATAAGATAGAGGGAGGGATTTACAGGAACTTGATCAAGAACTGTGCCCTTCCATTGTGTTACAGGTCCACTCCCTTCTCTCCAGCCATGCTGTATTCTGCAGCCTACAATGTTTCTTCGTGGCTGAGAAATAGGTTTGCTTGGTCCAACATTGTTTCTATGCTTTCTGTACACAGATACAAACATAACATTAAACAAGTACATACTCAAAATTCTACTCCGGACAAGAGGTGCATGCTTTAAGAAGGTAATACATTATTATTATATTAATATAAGATACATTAATTTCTAGCACATACAGCTTAGTGCACCTTATTCAAATTAGGGTATAAATCATATTACATTGCACTGGAAAAGGAAAAAAAACACACTGAAAAGTAGTGAAACATTTTCAACATTTTGTATAAGGTTGCTTTCATAATAGTAGTTTCTAAAACCAGTTTGCTTAAGCCAAAATATCTTTTTTAGCCATTGTTACACTGAACATCAAAAATAAAGCTTGCTTGTTAAAACTCTAAATCAGGTCTGAAAGAGCAATGTCACCTAATATACTTTTGCTACATTGTTGCTCTTGGTAGAATAGTAAACATAATTCCCTTATCCCAGGAGGAAGAATTCAGTGGAAACATTAGTGGTGGTTAATTAAAATTCTTCAAAGCATTTGTTTTCCCTAACCTTTGTTGTCACCCAAAGGAAATTTTGCTTCCTTTGCACTTGCAGGTATCTTTGACTTCAAGTATTTTTAAAGACACATGGTAGCGACAATATTCTTTCAATGTTCCTTTTTAGTACAACACAAGAAAAATTATATGCAAAGGTCACAGCAATAGAAGTGATATTCTTTAAAGCAGATTATAAATTAAATATGCTTTTAACCCTTCCTCATTTTTGTAATCCAACTTGCACAGAAAGATTTCTTCTGGTGAATGGCAGTTGCTCTCGTAAACAGTCATGTAAGCTATTTAACAGTTTCAACCCCCTAAAACAGTGTTACACAAGTTTTATTCTATTGAGTTAAAAAACCCCAAAACAGTAAGTTGACACTTGTAAATACAATGTATGAAGAAACACAAACATTATGACATTACATACGTGATCAATATATATTATCTTTATTTTAGCATGTTACAATATGAATATTCATTCCTAAAGTGATATTTAGTGGGTTGCCTGATTAAAATTCTCACAAATGTTAGCTAATTCAAAAATAGATTTCTGGATTAATTACCAGTTATAGTGCACTTCATTTAAATGGCAATCTACACATCGCTAGCATGCTTAAAAGCAACATATATAAAAAGAATAATCAGTTGCATAAAACAACATTCATCATTAGATTAGTGACAGTGACCAAAGAAAAATGTCTCTAGGAACAATGAAAGCTCAAAGAGTAGCTCATATATGATAGAGATCCAAAAGACACAATGAAGTCTCATAATGAGTCTTAAAGAATAATAAAAACAGTATATAAAATTACTAATGTTGAAGATATAATCATGTCTATTAAAAACAAGATGTATAATTCCTTCATCAGCTTGTCCCACCTCAAGACTCATTCTCCATGAAAATCTTAGCAGAGTTCCACAGTATCTTTTGTCAAATTTAATTTCTGTGATGATTTAACCTGATCAAGGAGGTCAGTCTGCATTCACAACCTGTGTTGTCAAAGTTAGGAGTATTATAGAAATGCTAATCTCTTCTAGTTAAGAGGAACTCCTCTGCAGAGCTGGTTCTAATTTTCCGCAGGAGCTTGAACACATGTTTAAATAATACTTCTTGCTCAAGTCTTATTTTAAAAAAAAATTAAAATAGTAAAGTTTTATTCTGAATAAATGAGATTTGGTTCTTAGGCACTATGTAAAGGACAATGTTTTGCATGCAATTAATGTATTTAGCTTCAATGAATCGCAATTCCATTTTAAGGCGTCCTCACAGAATAAAACTAACTGCTACTGAAGCTAAAAAGTTGAAGTGGAAAAAGGTAAAATAATACTCTTCATGTTTAACCACACAGTTAATCTCACTTTCTGCCTAAAAATCATAATCATAACATTTAAATTTGCACAATTAACTGAAAAGTTTCAATCACTTAAAAAATATGATGAAAAAAATCTACATAATACAGTTTAATTTGATAACTACCTTTTAAAACACTTTGGAGAGAGCAAAAAATGCCATAAATGCAATTACAAAGCAAGCAGCAGCCAGGTATACTTGCAGTTCAAGCTTTCCTTTCTCTGAAGTCTGGTACTACTGGACAGATACTCATTCTCATTTGGACTGCTATTTGTTATAGCAGGAAATATGATTTTCAAACAAATAAATTGCCAAAGAAAACCTATTTTTGCTTGCAACTGAACGTCATAAGGAAGAAAACAGGTTTCTGACTACAAATAACAGAATCATAGAATGATCAGCCTTTAAAGATCACCTAGATTCATTAAATCAGGTTGCTCAAAACCCCATCCAAACTGACCATGAATACTTTCCAATGATGGGAAATCCACAGCTTTTCTGGGCAACCTGTTCCAGTGCCTCATAGGAAATTTCTTCCTTATGTCCAATCTAAACCTACTCTCAGTTTAAAACCATTGACCCTTGTCCTGTCAGTACAGACCCTGGTAAAAAGTCTTTCTTTGTCTTTTCATAAAAGTACTTTTTATATATTGAAAATATATATAAGGTCTCCACAGAGACTGTGGGGAGTGAACGGATGAGATCTTACAAAGAATGCAGAGAGATGCTGGAAGAACCTCAGTGGGCCTCCCAGGAAGACATCCATCTTGGAGAGCTCTGACAGCCGGGACCAGGAAAGAGTCCGCAGCACAGTGATAAGAAGACAGGCATCCCAGGACCCCCCTCTCCTACACTCCCTTTTCCTCTCCTGGGCCCCCAAAGACCACACCTTCCCTTCCTCCCCTGGCTATCCCTTCCCCCTGAATGAATAAACATATCCCCCTAACCAATATCTTCAAGCTCCCTTATCAGAAGTCCTCGAGATTCGAGGGTTCAAATCCAAACCTTCCCTTGTCCCAGAACCTTCTATACCCTCCCTATATAAGCACCCTGGTAATAAAGGAATCGGCCATTTTGCCGGACATGTAACCTGCGTGTACGTGTCTGTTTCCCACGCAAGATGCGCTCTGGGCCGGATGTATGGGTTTAACCCCCCATTCGTCAAGAGACTTCTCTTCTCCAGGCTGAATAACCCAAACTCTCTTCATAGGAGAGGTGTTCCAGTCCTCTGATTGTTTTCATGGTTGTCCTCTGGACCCACTCCAACAGGTCCATGTCTTTCTTGTGCTGGAGGCCCCAGAGCTGCACACAGTACTCCAGGTGGGGTCTCATCAGAGAAGAGTAGAAAGGGAGAATCACCTCCCTTGACCTGCTGGCAATACTTTTTTTGATTCAACCCAGGATACAATTGGGTTTCTGGGCTGAAAAGCACATGCTGCCATCTCATGATCAATTTTTCATCCACCAGTACCAGGTCCTTCTCTGCAGGGCTGCATTCAATCCATTCATCCTACAGTCTGTATTGATACTGGGGATTACCCTGACCCAGATGCAGGACCTTGTACTTGGCCTTGTTGAACTTCATGAGGCTCACATGGACTGAACCTGTCAAGGTCCCTCTGGATGGCATCCCTTCCCTCCAGTGAATCAACTGCACCACTCAGATTGGTATCATCTGCAAACTTGCTGTGAATGCACTCAATCCCACTGTCAGTTATAAAATCATAGAATCATAAAATGGTTTGTGTTGGAAGGGACCTTGAAGATCATCTAGTTCCAACACCTCTGCTGTGGGAAGGAACACCTTCAACTAGATCACATTGTTCAGAGCCCCATCCAACCTGGCCTTGAACATCTCCAGGGATGGGGCATCCACAACTTCCCTGGGCAACCTGTTCCAGTGCCTCACCACCCTCACAGTAAAGAATTTTTTCCTAATACCTAATCTAAACTTACACTCTTTCAATTTAACCCATTCCGCCTTGTCCTGTCACTACATGCTCTTGTAAATAGTCTTGCCTCATCTTTCCTGTACATTTCCTTCAGGTACTGGAAGACCACAATTAAGTGACCCCAAAGCCTTCTCTTTTCCAGGCCAAACAATCCCAATTCTCTGTCTTTCCTCATAGGAGAGGTGCTCCATCCCTCTAATCATCTTGGAGACCTCCTCTGGACTTGCTCCAAAAGGTCAATGTCCTCCCTGTGCTGGGGACCCCTGGACTGGACACAGTACTTGAGGTGGGGTCTCACAAGAGCAGAGTGGAGGGGCAGAATCACCTCCCTTGACCTGCTGGTCACACTGCTTTTGATGCAGCCCAGGACATGTTTGGTTTTCTGGGATGCAAGCAAACGTTGCCAGGTCATGTCCAGCCTCTCATCCACCAGCACTCCCAAGTCCTTCTTGGCAAGGCTGCTCTGGATCTGGTCATCCCCCAGCCTGGATTGATGCCGAGGGTTGCCCCAACCCAGGTACAACACCTTGCACTTGGTCTTGGTAAACTGCCTGAGATTCCAGCACTATGTCATCAATGAAGATACTGAAGACTACTGGTCTCAGTACTGACCCTTGAGGGACACCACTCATGACTGGTTTCTACTTGGACATTGAGCCGTTGATTTTGAATGCAGCCATTAGTCAATTCCTTATCCATCTAACAGCCCATCTATCAAACCCATCTGTCTCCAATTTCGAGGCAAGAATGTAGTGGGGGACCGTAACAAAGGCCTTACAGAAATCCACATAGATAACATGAGTTGCTCTTCCCTTGTCCACTAATGCAGTCACTCCATCGTAGAAGGGCACTAGATTAGTCAGGCATGACTTGCCCTTGCTGAAACCATGTTGGCCGTCTCTAATCATCTCCCTGTTTTCCATGTTTCCACATGTCTTCCAGGCAGATCAGTTCCATGATCTTACCAGGCATGGAGGTAAAATTGACTGGTCAGTAGTTCCCAGGGAACTTCTTACTACTCTTTTTAAAAATGAGTGTGATAATATAAAAAAAATGGGTGCGTAATAACCATGATCAGTATACTTCCATATAAGATAATAGTGATGCGTTAGGATTCTTAAGATTTGTAGCATATAGATTTTTAATATAGCTGTATAGTTTCTAACACTTGAGAATAGCAGTTAACTAAAACTCCTTTCTCACGCTTCATATCAAATTCTCAGAATTCCTTCAGTTTTGTTTAATGTTCTCTTCAAGGAAAAGACCT